TTCATTGTCCTCCTTGGATGCATAGATTAATTTTAGGGAGGTCAAGTTTGGGAAGTTTCTTGCCACCACTTCTGATATTTTTTCCATCCCTTTCTTTCTCCTCTCCTTTTGAGACTCTCATTATGCGTATGTTGGCATGCTTAATGTTACCATGCGTGTCTCTGAGGCTCCATTTATTTTTCTTTGTTCCTATTTCTCTCTGTTCTTCAAATTGGATAACTTCTAACTTCTGTCGATCTATCTTCAAGTTTACCGACTCTTTAATCTGTCATCTCAGATCAGCCATTGAGCTCCTTTAGCAAACTTATCATTTCATTCAATTTATTTTTCAAATGAAAAAAAAATCATTTGGATCTTTTTTAGTCATTTCTGTTTCTTTATTGATGTTTTGTAGCTCATGAATCATTATTATTATACTGTCCTTTAATTCATTAAGCATTGTGTCCTTTAGTTCTTTGAATATATTTACAGTAACTGCTTTGAAGTCTTTGCTAATTCCAAATTCTGAACCCACAAAGACAATTTCTACTGACTGCTTTCCCCCACCCTGAGTTTAAATCATAATTCTAGTGTTTTTGCATATCCTGTAATTTTTGTTAAAAACTGGACATCTTAGATGATATAGGATAGCAACTCTAGATTCTGATCTTTTCTTAACCATTTAATAACTTGTCTTGACTGGAATTATGGAATCTGTCTCCTCTATGGTGTGGGACCACTGGTATCTCGCCCAGTTTTTAAAACTTTGGGTTTTTATTTTAAAACCTGGCTTCCCAGGGGTTGCCTCTGTGTCAGCATACCTTAGTGATCAGCAGAGGTGGTTATCAAACATCTTGAATCTGTGAGGCTTTCACTTTCTTCCGACTAATCTGTGTGTGGGTTGGAAACATGCGCAATATTCAGGCAGTTTGCAATTCTGCTTCAGCCTTGACATTCGGTCTGGCCCTTTCACGTGTTTCCTGCCTGTGCACATGGCCTCATGTTCAGATATGGGTGTGTCGATAGCTAGGGGCCCTCTGTGGTCCCTCTCGTTACTGTGTTCAGTCTTGAGCCAGGAGTATATGGGCGTTTATCAAGCCCATTGTGATTGTCCCATTTCCCAGGTCTCCTTGTTAAATTTCTGACTTATCCACGGTCCAGAGTGCGCCTCCATCAGGACGACAACCTCAGCCTTTGGCCTTCCTCTTTCATTTGTTGCCAAGACTGCTATCGTTTCTGACAACTCTCCGAGTGTGGGGTTTTTCCATGCTTTCCTCCACTTAGGTGAGCCCCTCCCGGCAGCAACGCTGCTGGCTTTCACAGCTTGCCTGACTCCAGAAAGACCATGGCAGTGACCCCACCATGGCCGGGGTGGGCGCGGGAAAGCCCTAATAAAGATGGCCACAGACTCCCACTGTTCCTACCTGAGGTTCAGTAGTTTTTCTTGAATAAATACCTGTCAATTTTCTGTATCCCTTCATTCAATTTCCAGAGTATGGAAGTTGCTGTTTTTGAAAATTTTATTGATGTTTATTATTTTTTTGGAGGGAGGGGAGGAGACTCATTAAGCTCCTTGCTCCACCATTCCACAAGTCTTACTCTTACGTGCCACCTTTATGACCTCATTAAACCCCCACTATGTCCCTGTAGGACAGACGTGATTAATCCATATTCTAGAAAAGGAAACTGAAGACCAGAGAGGAGGAGGGGCTTGCTCAGGGTCACACGGCCAGGGAATGGTGGATCTGAACCGGGTCCCAGCACTGGTGGATGGAGAAAAGCTTGGGAGCTGATTCCTTGGCTTTGGATCCCCCTCCATCAGTTCCTATAAGAGTGAGCTTTGCCCGGCCATTTCATTGTACTGGGCCTCACTTTCTCTGTCTGTAAAATGGGGATGAAATAGTACCTGAGGCTGAGTATTGGAAGCAAAGTGAGTTATCATATGTAAATCAGTTAGAACACAGCTCAGACTCAAAACCAGGCTGAAAACGTTTTCTGGGAGGAAAATGGCCAACATTTGACTCACGCACACACAAAAAAACCCCCACAGAATTTCATGATGAGGTGGATAAGCTTCAATGACCCAGACAATTCTGACACACAAAAGAGATGATTCCATAAAGACGTGGGACAAGGAAAACTTTGCTACAGTCACTTGGGTTCTTGCCATGTCTTTTCTCACCAAGTGGCTGTTGGACAATGATTACATTATGTTGAACCAAATGAGATGATTGATATTTGCTCTAAATATTTGCAATTTCGTATGATTCAATCTAATAGTAATATTAATAAGAATAACAGTGGTAGCAATTAAGTGAAAAGTCATTTGCAAAGTCCTTTTCATATGTTCTCAGTTAATGCTCCCCATTGCTGTGGTCTGGGGAAGGTTTATTCTCCCCACTTTGCAGGTGAGGAAGAGCATCAGAAGTACAGCTGAACGCCCGCACGCCCCGGCTCATGCCACCGTTTGCCCTTAAGCTCTCTCATCTGTACAATGAGGTCAACAGAACACAATATGTATGTTCAAGCTAGTAGTCTTGGCTACACAGACATCTAAGGGATTCTAAGGACACATGGAGGTGGAGAAGGATCCCCAGCTATGGTGGTGGTTGAGTGTGTGCTTTGGGAGTGTTCATGGTGTATCCAGGAAATGGAAGCCTTCATCCATGTGCTGCAACCTATTTACCAGGTTTTGACCAGAACAGAGGTGATTATGGGGTGGAATAGCTCCTAATGTTTATCGAGCGCTTACTACCTGCCCTTCCTAAAAGTCCTCCATAAGCACAACCTCAGAATCTTCTGCAATAAGTGTTATTTTTGACCCCATCTTTTGGGAAGGAGTCTGAGATTCAGAGTAAAACACTTGCCCAATGTCACACAGTTCATGAGTGATAAAACCCAGATCTGAACCCAGGTGGCTCTAACTCCAGATCCTGATATTTTCCCCCATAAAATCTACCCTAGTTTTTACCTCTGAAACAGATTTAGAAAAATATCGTTGGCCATATATTTCATTTGTTTATCTATATGTCTCTTTTTCAGCCAATTTTTATTGTTTTCTTCTTGTGCAGAGAGAAAAGATGTTGTATTTTAGATATATTGGTTTTATGCATTTCCTTCCCCTACAGCTCCCTTGGAACATTTGTGGCTAAAATGTAATAAGTGAAACCGCTGAAATTTTGGAAGGGTATCATGGAACGTTCTTCCAGGAGGTCAGAAGATGAAGCTTCTTTCCTGATTGCAGTTTGGGACTAGACTTTTAATAAGCAATTTTTTTTTTGGCATCTTAGGAAGTTCTCTGTGATGCCATTGACCTATGGATTGAAACTCATCCTCTAAATTATTCCAGTCTCATAATACCTTTTGCTTCTTGAGCATTGCAATTACTTTTCTGACAGTTAATTCTGAAAATAGACTTTCTTATTTTCAGCGAATGGAAGAGCAATGAGGGGTGCTGCGAGGGTGGAGTGGGAGGGAAATTGGCAGTCACAGGGGAACCAGACATGACCTGTATTTGTCTGAGGGTGCAAATCCCTGGCAGGGTTGTTTCAACGCCTGTGTGACAATTTACAAGAGGAAGACTCCATTATATGGCTGGTGATGTGGTCTATGCTGCATCTAGAAATCTCTTTGAGTGTAATTATTTCTTCCTCATGGGGCTGCTTTTCCCTCTCATTGGATCTCCCTTGTTTAGGTATTCCTTCATTCAGTCACAGTATTTGTTGAGCTCCTATTGTATGCACAGAACAGTACTCTGGTGCAGTGGAGGAAATAAGAGAGTAAGAGGTAAACACAGGCTCTAGGTCAGGCAGACAAGGTGAATGCCCACATCATTTATTTAGCACATATGCATGAGAGTGAGGTCGTCTCTGGCTAGTATGATGAGTGAAGCACAGAGTGCTGGGGAGGCTGTCACAGGTTGACTTAGTGACATAGCACGTGAATTTCTTAGTGCCCTGAGTCCTCTGGAGCCATTCTAGGCAATTGGAGCAGTTCAAGACATAGATGTAGCCAGATCTTGATCGGAATCTGCCTCTTGCCCTGTGTGTAACCTTGTCATCTTGGAAAAATACCTTCACCTAGGGTTTTGTTTTGGGTGTGTGTGTGTGTGTGTGCAGTAAAATATACATAATGTAAAAGTTACCATCTTAACCGTTGTAAGATGTGCAGTTCAGTGCATTAAGTACTTTCACAGTGTGATGCAACTGTCACCACCATCCATCTCCATAACTCTTTCTCTCTTGCAAAACCGAAACTCTGTACCCATTAGACAACAACTCTCTATTTCCCCCATCCTCAACCCCCAGCCATCACCATTCTACTTCCTGTCTCTGAATTTGGCTACTCTAGGTACCTAATAGAAGTGGAAACTTACAGTATCTGTCCTTTTGTGATTGGCTTATTTCACTTAGCATAGTGCCTTTAAGGTTCGTACAAGTTGTAGCTTGGGTCAGAATTTCCTTCCTTTCCATATTACGTTGTGTGTTCATGCTACATATTGTTTATCCATCCATCCCTGGGTTGTTTTCGCCTTTTGTCTATTGCGAATGACGCTGCTATGAACACAAATGTATAAATTTCCCTTCAGGACTCTGTTTTCAATTCTTTTGGATTTATACACAGAAGTGGAATTGCTGGATCACATAGTACTTCCGTCTGTGATTTGTGAGGAACTGCCATACTCTTTTCCATAGAAGCTGCATCCTTGATATTATATTATAATAATAATATTTTGTACCTTCAGTTTTCTGCTCTGTAAAATGGGCATAGTAGCATGACGACCCACCTAAGGTTGCTGAAAGGATGAAACAAATTGGCGTCTGTGACAGTCCCAGCGGAATGGGTGGCACACAGTAGGTGCTCAGTACATGCTCCCCTTTTGCACTTGCCAAAGCTTACAGACATGTGGGGTCATCCTTGCTCCTGGTGCATCAGCCCTTCAGCTAGCCTGACCTTGCCCTCTAGGTATCTCCTACCTGCTGCTCACCTTCTCCTCCTGACTTCTTTCCTCCCACCCGCAGGCCGTGGAGGAGCTCCTGCAGACCCTGGACCTGGAGAAGAAGGCGGTAGCCATGGGGCACAGCCAAGTGAGTGGAGTTTCTTTCTTACCGCATTCTGCCCATCACATCGCGCACCCAGATGTGACCTAATTCTTGTCCTGCCTCAATTGTCCATTATCCCTGTGGTCTCCTTTTTCCAAACTAAAAACAAAGCTAATGTTTTCTGCCCCGCCTATCTTACAAGGTCATGAAGACAAACTGTCATCATATGGATGGAAATAACATTGAGAAATATCATTGGTTAGAGGTTACATTCTCAGGGACATCAGGGCTTTGGGAGAATGAACACTCTGGTCCTTAATAGGAACTTCTGAGCCTCAAAAGGAGCTGCCATACAACCTGGGAAGAAACACTCATCCTCATTCAGAGCCTTTGAACTCCTACTTTGCAACCAGCTGTAACGCTGCTACAGTCCTAGCCAACTGACAGCAGGAAGTGAAAAGAAAGAAGGGCCTTGAGAAGGCACTTGATTATTCGAGCAGAGAAAAATAGCTTTTCCCAAACTGCTGTTGAGCCAAAAACTCTTCCAAATAATGCTTAAATGTTTAGAGTGGAATTTTCACACTTCCCCAATAGGCTTGTATTAGGCTGAAAGTTTTCAAGAAGGGAAACGTGGTACCTAGAGCTTCGCAACCTATTTGACCATGGAACCCCCAGCCTTTTGTCTCTGTGGAATGCTCCTTACCATCTCCTGGAGCTAGTGTCCCTGGGTTCTAGTTTGGGAGGTGGGGCACAGAGATTTTAAACTCAAGGATCAAGTGGTGGGCAGGGAAAAAGGGACACAGTTTAGAGACCCAAATTGGAGAGGGAACAGACAAAAGGAAAAATTGCTCTGTCCATCCCCTCACCTAGTTATCTACTGGTTGATTAACGACATCCAATAAACCTTTGCCAGTTGCCTTCCACCTCGAGGTGCTATGTGAGGTGCTGGGAAGGGTCCTACTCCCCAGAAGCCCACCATGGTGGCATTCTTGGCAATTTGTACTTCATGGAGCCTGCGCCATCATGTGCCCCTGAAAGCCGCCCTTTTGTCGGAGAGCTCACAGCCGTTTACACTGGCTGCACATCCGCACTGGTACCCCCCCACTGGCCTCTTGGTGTTGATAAGGTGTCATTAGTCTACTGTGGTCTCAACCCGATTTCTCCTGCTAGGTAGGAGTTGCAGCACCTGGGCCTTTGCTGACTTTTTCAATAGAGAGAATAAACCTGTGAGTCCCTGGGCTCCCACCACGAGCCAGGTACTGTGCTCGGCAACCGCACGTTTTCTTCTTTGTTCCCGACAGTCTTCTGTGAGATAATAAGCATGATCCTGATTTACTGACCAGGAAGCCGTACCTCTGGAAAATAAGCCTCTTTTCAGATCTCACAGATAACTGAGGGTACAGACTCCATGCAAACCCCTATATGTCCAAATCCCAGGGGCTTTTCTATGTGCCGTGGGTATATTGTTCATTAATGGCGATGCAGTCGTGGGTCACTTAATGATGGGGATATGTTCTGAGAAATTATCATTAGACAGTTTCGTTGCATGAACATCGTAGAGTGCACTTACCCAAACCTAGATGGGATGGCCTACTATGTGCCTAAGCTATATGGTCTGGCCTATTGCTCCAAGGCTGCAAATCTGTACAGCACATTCCTGTCCTGAATACTGTAGGCATCTGTAACACAATGGTAAGTATTTGTGTATCTAAACAAATGTAGAAAAGGAATAGTAAAAATATGGCGTTATAATCCTATGGGACTACTATCGGGTCTGTGGTCTGTTGTTGACAGAAATGTCCTTATGTGGCACATGGCTCTATATAACACATTCTTTACACACAGGTCTTGATGGTCCTAAGTCAGGGGGGTTGTTCTTCAGCTCTAGGCACTTCATCCTTCTAGAACAGCAGTTCTCAAAGTATGGTCCCTGGACCAGCAGCATCAGTGTCACTGGAGAGCTTGCTAGAAACACGAATTCTTAGGCTCACCCAAGACTAATGAATCAGAAACTCTGGGTGGAGCCCAGGGGTCTGTGTGGTCACGTGCCCTCTGGGTGATTCCAACGTACACTCAAGTCTGAGAATCACTGGTCTCGATAATTACTCAGTCATTTCGTGAATGCAAAAGCCAGTCCTTTAGATCCTAGCAGCTATTGCAGAGCAAGGGAGAAAACAGGAGAAGGTTGTTATAGTTTTGCGGAGGCAGGAGCAAGAGGTCTGTAAGCCTAAACATCTCAGGAATAAAACATGATTGAATAATGCTTGGTGTTCACTAAGAAACTGTTAAGAGCAAATCAAGATCAATGTATCCTTTCAGAAACCAGGCTGGGAATAGATTGAGATAATTTAAGGGCAGATACAACATCTTATGCATTGAAGGATTTGGCCTCAGTTACTCCACCTGTAAAATAGAGTCACCACTTTCTCCCTCCCAAGATGACTTTAGGAATCAGTAAATTGTCATATGACAGGGGCTGGCTGTCACTACTTGCTGAATACATTTGACACTGGGGCAAGAAGCTTATCAAATAGGATGACATTTTAATGTTTAAAGAATTAAACTTCTCTAATCTGGGAAACTACTAGGAGGGGAGGAGCTAATTCCTCGGCCTTAGCAGATATGGGAGCTATCTCCATATCAGAATTTTAAAAAACTTGGCCTCCAGAATTTTTAGAGGAAAATCAGCTTACATAGTAGTGGCCCCTATGGATTCCTTGGAGGCAGGGGGTTTGGCGATGTTACACTCTGTTTGTGTCCGATAAGCAGCTGGATCCATGAAAAGCGAATAATTTAGATTTTTCTTTGTGATTTTTCAGCCCCTGGCGCCTTATCAGGGCTTGTGCTGAGGGCTGTAGCACTTATGAAAAAGGTGTGATTCCACATGCAATGGGCCTTCTGGTCGGCAATATGCTCTTAAAAGGCAAAAAAAAAAAAAAAAAAAAAAAAATCAAGATAAGGTTCCGCAGAGGCGATGACTTACTCCCACCCTGTGTATGGTGGTTTCCGATTATCTTTTTAATGAAAGCTTCATACTTAATCAATGGCGGTTTTGGCAGTGTCTGCCGCCTATTGTAATATACGAACTGGTCCTGTCATCACTTTGGTCATTGATTTTTTTTTTTTTTTTATAGCAGCCTTTGAGACTCACTAGCTTGTGAAATTAATACAGTCATTATTGAGGCAATCTGATAGGTAATGAGTCAGTCGTGTCTTTATTTCGATGAGACTAATTGTCTCGGTGGCCGGCCCTGGCAGAGAGGAAATGTTCTCCAAAGCAGGGAGTGTTGCAAAACAGAGTTAGCACTGATTGGTGGTGCTAATTTTTATTTTCCCCTCGAGAAGAGGTTCAGTGCCCGATTGATAGGTGGAATAGTCTCCATTACCGAAAATAGGTTTAGGGCAACGGAGAATCGATCGAGAGACTTTGTTCCACCTGGTATCGAATTGCAATTGAGCCTCCAGCTTCTGGTGTTTGCGTCATAACGATGAGAAAAGGAAGCCTCCTGTTGATGCTGAGAACGGGCGCAGGAGACGAACCCACGTTCTGGGTTCAAGTCTTGGCTTTGTTGCTAACCGGCTGTGTGAACTTGAATCGATTACGTAACCTACCTGAGCCAACGATTCCTCATGGGGCTGCTTTGAATATTAAAATGGGACGTAGGAGAAAGGGCTTTGAAAAATGTAGATGCCACACAAATGTTAATTACATTCAGTGATAATTGTAGTCTTGGCTGGAGTCAGATAGGGAAAAAGAAATCCTGGTATTGCCACTTGCTAGTGGAGGATGGTGGGCAAATGCCTTTTTTAGACTTAGTTTATCCCTCCCTGAAATAAGAGGATCAACACTACCACGTAGGATGTGCATGTAAATCACCTTATCTGCATATCGACGGGTGGTTCAGGGCGGTTCAGTGCGGTTGCAGAACACAGCAAGCGCTCCATAAATGTTAGACATCAATCAATAACGCCACCGCTTAAGACAGATCTCTTCGGTGTCCCGGAGAAATTGACACCTTTGGGGTTATAAGCCACCTGTGACAGAGAAACGCACAGGGTTGTTTTTAGAGATAAGTAGCGTAAGGGCATTAGAGGCACGACTCCTTTCCTGGCACGGACTCGAATCCCACCACGAGAGGATGTTTCCTGTGCCTCTGGGAAGGTGAGGAAATGCCACACCAAACTGTAGCTACCCCACCTACCACATCGGCTGGAGCAGGCCTGATCCCAAAACTTCAGGTTCTTTCAGAAAATCCTTTAACTCAGACCTCCAGGACTCTCTGCTTTAATCTTTTGCTGACAGTCGGTCCTGGGGTCCTGGCTTCCTCGCTCCCGTTCCCTGCAGTCTAGGAGAAGGCGGCTCCGTGGGGTGCCGCGGAGGCACTGATCAGAGTGCTGCAGAGGGCGTCATCCATTATTGATGAGCTGCGGCCAGAAATCGTGTACCGAGGGCTGTTTTCCGCTAGATGCCTGAGCGCCGCCATGGGTGGCACCAACCCAGCCCCGTGCTCTCCAGACCAAGGCGGGCCGCCCTCACTTCCCCCACGGTCTCTGCCCTTCCTTGCAAGGCTGGACGGAGGTGTCTCTAGGCCGCCACTTCTCTCAGATCAGTGGTGGTGTCTATCGGAAAATGCAGATCCCCAGGCCTCGCCCCCAAACCCACGATCCAACCTTTCCTGGGGTGAGTCCTGGGAATCTGCATTTACTATACTTCCTGGGTGACTCTGGTGCACAGGAACGTGCAGGCACATCCGTCCCAGCTGTGGTTCTCAAACCGATGTGCACACGAGTTCCCTGGGTATCACGTTAACATGCGGCTTCTGATTCGGCAGGTCCGGAGGGAGGTCTGAGATTCTGCACTTCTACCAGGCTCCCAGGCAGCACTGATGCTGCTGGTGCGTGGACCACGCTGAGTCTCTGGGGGCTGGGGGAGGGGAAAAGGGAGCCCTCAGGAGACAGAATGCATTGATCATTTCGACCATCATGAAGAGGCAGCTGCCAGCCAATATGGTGGGTGGATGTAAGAGAACCGGGGTCTGAGTTGCAAGCACCTCCCATTCCAGACACCCTGTTTCAGCAAAGGAGTCACCTATGACCTTCCTTCCTCCCAGGTTTTCCTCAAGGCAGGTGTGGTCTCCAAGCTTGAGAAGCAGCGAGAGAAGCTGATGTCTCAGAGCATCGTTCTCTTCCAGGCGGCTTGCAAGGGCTTTCTGTCTCGCCAGGAATTCAAGAAGCTGAAGGTACTACATACTGTGAGCACGCAGATCCTGACCCAGCGGGTCGGAGTGAGCGAGGGGTCTGCACGCCTCCCAGGATGATGCTAATGCTGCCAGTCCAAGGACCTAACCTGAGTAGCGAGACTCCTAAGTGACGCTTCGCAAGATGTTATGATTGTTTATGGGACATTGACATCAAATTATTGAGGACGTTTTTCTTGCACTAGGTATCCATGAGGTTGTCCAAGCCCTCCTGGGCTGATTCATGATTTCAACCTGTCCCATTTCTGGAGGAATTCACTTTTGTGGGTCAGCAGACAGGACATGCACAGGTCCTGGCCACTGAGGTCTCAGGGACCAAAGACCAAGTCGATCACATGGTCCTGAGCCATGCTGAGTCATCATCTTCAGAGATCTCTGGAGACTGAATTTTCTCTCTGTAGCCTGAACAATGGACTGCATGGCTCTGGGGACAAATAATGTATATGTTTGAATCCCACTTCTCCCTCTTAGTAGCTGAGTGAAGGTGAGATGAGATAATATGCACTTAATACAGTGCATGGCACATAGTAACTGCTCAATAAATCCTAGATGTTATGCTTTAGTATTGTTATTCTTAATTACTACTACTATTAGAGTGGAGTCTCATTACATGTGCCTTTAGTTTATGTGAACTCAAGTACATGCACTTGGCAAAAACAGAAAAAGGTGAGAACATAAATAATGAAACTATTGTGGGAAACCCCACTGGCCTTCTGCACTCAACTAGCTTATGTCTTGGGCTGATTTGGAATAGGGGTTAAGAGTCTGGGCTCTACAGCTTGGCTGCAAGGGTTCAAACCTGCTCTGCCATCAAGAAGCTAGATGACACTGGATATGTGACTTTACCTCTCTGCACCTCAGTTTCCACATCTGTAAAATGGAGATGTGGTAACAACACTTACCCTCCTAGGACTGTGGTGAGAACTGAGTTGAGGTTTGCAAGATGCTCGGGGCAGGACCTGGCATTCAGGAAGCAGCATACCAGCTGCACAGGCTTGGCTATGATTACGGGGATGCGAGAAAAGCATCTGTCTCTGTCAGTGTGGGCCTGGGCCCGACCTGTGATAAGAAGGAATAGGTCAGTGCTTCTCCAAGTGCAGTCCCCAGAGCAGCAGCCTTAGCATCCCCTGGGATTTGTTAGAAATGCACATTCTCAGGGCCCCGTCCCAGACTGGCTGAATCAGAACCCCTGGGGGTGCAGTCCAGCAATCTGTGTTTTAACAAGCCCTCCAGGGGACTCTGGTGCACACTCAAGTTTGAGAAGCATGGAATTAGTGTTTAAATACACTTAACAAAATCTGTCCCTCACTATAAGCGAACAACATAATCTTGGACATTGTTCCTTGTGGGCAATTTTGGGGATTTTTCAAGGATAATTTTTGCCTAGCATGGTGACTTTTAAACCTAAATCCCCATGTAAGATGCTACCCTATTGAACAGTATCTTCTCCTATTATTATCATTGTTGTTATTACTATTATTATTTGATCATGCAGGAATAAGTTATGGCATAATGCCTGATACAGAGAGCCCAACATATCAAAAGGGCGCCATGAAAGGAAGCTTTTTTCTTTAAAGTTATCCAGTCCCTTCCACCAGGATATAAACCCACTTCCTCCAGCCCCTCTGCTACCCTCTCCCTCCTGCCCTTCCTTCCTCCTCACTAGAGTCGGGAAGGACCCCCTCCAGTCCCCATTCTCTTTCCGCTGCAGATTCGCCGACTGGCTGCTCAGTGCATCCAGAAGAATGTGGCTGTGTTCCTGGCGGTCAAGGACTGGCCGTGGTGGCAGCTCCTTGGTTCCCTCCGGCCCCTGCTGAGTGCCACCATCGGGAATGAGCAGCTCCGGGCCAAGGAGGTCAGTCCACGTAGCAGGAAGGGCCCTGGTGGCTGCTCCCTCCTGCCACCCACTTCTTGGTGCTTGCATCTGGGACCCAGCACCCCCACCCCTGAAAATTTCTGATCTAAGAATGCACAGCCCAGCATCCTCTGATGCCCCCTTCCAGATATTCCTCTGAGATATTCCAAATATATCGAGCCACTGGCAGAAAAGTAACCCTTGGGAAGATGAAGTGCTGAGCACGCTGTCCTCATGCAGGCGTGCCCAGTCTCAGATGGAGCAATGGTGCCCTTCTGGTGATTGGCACTCAGCCCCTTCCAGACTGGGCTGGGCTGGACCAGATTTGTGTGAGCAGAGACGCTGATATTCAGAAACAATGAAAGATAAAGCTTTGTAGGAACTTAGCATCTGGGTACCAACATAAATATGCTGGCTGAATCCATTTCCCAACCACTCTGTTTTAAATTTTATTTTTAAGTTGACAAATAGTAATGGTATATATTTATGTAGTACAATGTGATGTTCTGATATATGTTTACGATGTGGAATGATTAAACCAGCCTAATTGACAAATCTATCACTTTTTCCACACACGGACTTATTTTTTTGTGTGTAGTGAAAACATTTAAAATCTGCTCTTTTAACAATTTTGAAAGATGCAATGCATTATTATTTATAATAATATACAATTTATTATCATAGTCACCATTCTGTGCAATAGCTCACAAAAACTTATTTTCTCTATCTGAAACTTCATACACTTTGCTCACTCTGAACACAAGCAGGCTGTACATTGCTGGTCCCGAATGGCTTCTGTTACAGTGTTTGTTTTTGCAGGAGGAGCTGATGACGCTGAGACAGAAGCTAGAAAAATCAGAGAAGTCACGGAATGAACTCCGGCAGAACGCAGACCTGCTAGAGAGCAAGGTATCCCATCTTTCCTCTTGGGTCCTTGCGTGGGGTCTCTGTGTATGTGAGGTCTATCGAAGGGAGAGAATGATGATACGCTTGGCACGGTGCTAATTGTTTTATAAACACCCTCAACATTACCTGTGCAGTACATGCTATTATTGTATCCATTCTACAGAGGAGGAAACTGGGATATCAGGTATCTTCCTAAGGCCACACAACTAGCAAGTGTAGAACTGAGATTCGAACCCACGTCCTCTGGCTTCAAAGGGAAGATTTCTTAAATAAGTCACAAAGCACAAATCGTAGGAGAAAAGGATAAGTTTCACTACATTAATGTAATAAACTATTTGTCAAAGCATAAAATTGAAGACGCGCTACATACTTGGAGTTGAAATTTGCAAACTGGCAGAGAGTATCCAGAATATGTAAAGAGCTTCCTCAAATCAATTAGAAGAAGGAAAACATTCCAAAAGAAAAAAATATATGTATAGGCAAAAGGAAAAGAAATCATTTTATAAAAAGGGCACCGACACTCATATGTTTATCGCAGCACAATTCACAATTGCAAATATATGAAATCAACCTAAGTGCCTATCAACTGATGAGCGGATAAATAAAATGTGGTACACACATACACACACACACACACACACACACCATGGAATACTAATGAACCATGAAAGAGAATGAAATGTGTTTTGCAACAACTTGGATGGAACTAGAGGCCATTGTCCTATATGTGTGTAGTATCTCAGGAACAGAAAAAAAATACTACATGTTCTCATTTGTAAGTGGGAGCTAAGCAATAGGTATGAATGGTCATGCAGAGGGGTATAGTGGCCACTGGAGACTCAGAAGAAGGGAGGCTGGGAGGGAGGTGAAGGATGAAAAATTACCTATTGGGTACAATGTACACTGTACAGGTGATGAGTACAGTAAAAGTCCTGACTTCACCACCGTACGATTCATCCATGTAACAAAAAGTCATTTGTACCCCCTAAATCTATTGAAATAAATAAAAAACAAAAAACTCCACAAATGTTCAGGAATTCAAATGGGCAACAAACTCATGAAAAGATGCTCAACCCAACTAGCAATCAGGAAATGCACATTAACACCTCAATAGGTACCATTTCACACATCAGATTGGAAAAATTGAAAAGTCTGATGTAGCGAAGTGTTGGCAAGATTGTGTAGCAGTGGGAATTCTTATTCACTGCCGGTGGGAGGATAAATTGATCTAGTCTCTCTTGAACAATTTGGCATTTTCTGCCCTGTGGCCAGCAATTCCACTTCTAGGTATAGAGGCTGGACAATCTTAGCCATGTCGATGTGAAAAGACGAGATGTTCATAGCAACAGAGTTTGTTATGTTGAATGTCAGCACTCAAATGAGAACTTACTAACAGGAGAACAGGTGCAGACATTTTGTTATATTACAAATTGAGTTATCAAGGATGAGAATGAATGAAGAGGCAGGCAGTTATGGCCTGCAGGCCAAATTTTGTTCACTGCTGGCTTTTTGTAAATAAAGTTTTATCGGAACACAGCCATGCTCATCCATTTATGTATCGTCTATCACTGCTTTCATGCTACAATGACAGGGCTGAGTTGCAACCTGAAACTACTCTACTCAGCCCTGCCACATGGCCTGCAAAGACCCAAACATTTAGTATCTAGATCTTTATAGAAAAAGTTTCCTGATCCTTAAACTAGAAACATGTATATCAACATGGATTGCCTTTGTAAACATAATGCCAAAGGAAAACAATTAAGTTACAGAAGACTACTTAAAGTAGGATAGCTTATATGTTAATTTTCAAACATTCAAAACATTGCTATATATTGATTAGGCCCATATACATATATAGTTATGGTGTAAACGTATGTATAAGAATAATAACACAAAATTCAAAGTAGTTGTTACTTGGGGTGTGGAAGTGATCATAGGGTTGGAGAAGGTTATTCTGGGTGAGTGTGTGAGTGCATTGCTGAGGTTTTCTGTCTTTAGTTGCATGTTGAGTTCGTGGGCTTGGTGTCACGACATGAACCAGACACTTCCTGCCCCAAGAAGGCCATTGCAAATTACAGACGAACTCCTAGACAGAGTCATGTGCTATAATGTGATATGTGGTCAGTGAGCTGTGGATAGACCAGGGAGTTGCTATTCAAGGAAAACCCGCTGTTCCATTTAGACTTTCAGGGCTGGAACCAGGAAGAGGTGAGGGAGGCACACAATTTAAAAGGTCACTAGGCCGGGCGAGGTGGCTCACGCCTGTAATCCTAGCATTCTGGGAGGCCGAGGAGGGCGGATTGTTCGAGCTCAGGAGTTCGAAATCAGCCTGAGCAAGAGCGAGACCCCGTTTCCACTAAAAATAGAAAGAAATTAATCGGACAACTAAAAATACATAGAAAAAATTAGCCGGGCATGGTGGCGCA